AAAAAAGCCAACCAAACCACAAACCAAAACCAAACCACAAAACACACACCCTACTTTGTTAAATACTCTGTGTCATCTAAACTTTTAGGCACCCATTCTTCTTGTATGCACACATTTTGAAACATCTAGTCATACAGTGTGAGTCACAAGTCAGGAGTCAGGAAGCACAAAATCTAATTTTCTATTTTAGAGTTACCTGCAGCAGCATCTTGCTTGGACTTTCCCTGATCAACACATTTATCACCTTCATTAGCTCTGACTTGACTGCACTCAGATTACCTACACAGCACAAAGCACCCCTCCTTACCTTAACCTGAGGGTCTTTCATTAGTCTTCCAGCTACTGATTACACTACTACCTCCCTAACCTCAACCATGCACAAAAAAGCTGGACAGGGAGGGAGGCAGAGACAGAGTGCACACAATGGAACGCACACAAGCTCAACTTAACCTTGCAAGTCATGTTGTCTTACTAACATACACACATGTGTAAGATATTTAAAACTGTTACCTGTTTTAAATTATATGAAGTTTATACAAAGGAGAACAACTTTAAAAAAAACCCCCAGTTAATATTTAGTTCAGGTAAAGTTCAGTTTAAACCAAGTATTTTTATTGCATCAGGTTTTCTGGAAGCAGTTAGACATCAACATTAAAGAAGAGCACACTTTCAGAGCCCTCCAAAACAACAGAAGGAAAACATACCCTTTTTCCTCAAATTCAGTTATCCAAAAAGTACAGTGCTGATACTCAGTTAAATCTCGACTCACAGACACGCAAAACACTAATACTACAGATAAACTTCATAGCTTCACGTCAGAAACATGAGAAAATCTGTTCCAAATGACCATTCATATTCACATACAGCAATTTCATAATTTCAGTCGCACAAACAATTGAAAGCTGCATGCAATATTCTAAACTACTTCAAGTCTGAGAAAAGAGAAAGTACTGGTCTAATTAGGAGGTGCTAAGCTTTGACCGAATTAATAGAAAAGAGGGCAAACTTCTGTCAAGTACCCTCTGATGTTTTGTTAAACATCTGTTTTCCTACTTCACTTCCTGTTCTCTCTTTCTCTCCCTCCCCCACCAGACAGGAAATTGTCTTGACAACAAATGAATCAGCTAGAAGTGGAACTAAGCAGCCATCAGCTGATTCCTCATTGTTTACAGTCACAGACACTTCAAAAAGACTTGCTACTGTTTTCTTCCTAAGTGACCTTAGCTGTTCTAACTTCATTTCATTAAAATAAACGTTTAAACACAACAGAACAAGCTGTTTGAAGAGCCAAGTAATGATTTTCATCTTGAGATACAAAAATCAAGAAACACTTCACTCAAAGCAACTGAAATCATAACAACACATATCGTAATTGTTAAGTCACAGGATCTACCAACCTTCTATTTCTAGATTTATCTTTTTTAAAAAAAGAAAAAAAAAAGCCAGTCAAAGAGAAAAAGCTGTAAATAAAATCCCAAACAGCAATACAAATGCATTTGCTCTTTAAAAGCCATCTGGAAAAGCAACAGTATTGTTCATGGTCTATAGCAGCCTCTATATTCTTGTAATGTGCTATTACAAAGCCAACTCCACATTAGTATTACTGCATTTTATTTCTAAACTTCTCTTCCCTCAAGAAAACTTAACCCCTATAAACACAGAGATTGTGAGAAGTATTTCAGGTATTCAAATTAGTATTCAACATAGGCAGTTTCTACAGGAACTGACCTATTTTAGGACAGTGACAGGATTTATATTTTATCAGTTAGGTATGTTTAACAGAGTTTAAACATTCAGTACACTAGATCTTAGCCCCAATAGTTTTGGGCTGCCTATCTCACATTCTAAAACAGTATAAAAAAAGTTCAGATTAGTATGACGTTTGAGATAGCATGCAAGTAGCTTAAAGTAAACAAAAAAAGAAAACAAGAACTATGGACAACCAACTCCATAGTGAGAGATTACACCACTACAATTAGTTCAACTACACAGCTCTGAAAGAGTTCAAGTGTGCCTCTTACCACAATTGCATGCGGAGAATGCACTAAGGCCTTAAGTTCATTCAGGTCGTTCTCAGCCTGCAGAAATCGGCATAAGAAAAAAAAAAAGTATATAAGGAGGGTGGATTTTGAATTCTCTCACAGATACTATAAATTTAAACAGTGGTTAATACAGTCCTATAAGCCCTACGTTACCTTATCCCATTCTCCTTCCATGACATGATTGCGGAATTTGGTAGCAGAAGGATGTTCTAAACGACATCCTGACTCTTGCATGAGGAGATCAACAGTCTGGCTGCAGGAGAGATACAGTGTAAAAAAACCCGACCAGTTTTACCCTCACAAATACACCGCCTGCTATGATAACAGTTTACTATATTTTAAAGTCAATTTAAGAAAACAAGAATACTATGACCAGATTCAGATGCTTGTTCAGAAAGAGGATCTCAGTTGTCTGAGACAGGTAAACAGCTACCTCTACCTAAAGCAAGTTGTCAATGAGCTTGAAAGCTTCGCTGAAGCACCATGAAGTCTGTGACTTACCAGCCACCACAGCCATCCCTGCACAGAAGATAAACCTCATGAAGGAAGATACAGACTAGAAAGCTGTTAGCTATTGGCTGCTATCCCTGGCCCCCTCCCTGCCTCCCCCCATAAAAGAACAGAGAGCTTCGACATCTGTCACAGGCCTGATTTTTTCTTCTTCCTTACATCTTAAAAGACTGGCTCCTTAAAAAAAAATAAACAAACTCATGAACCTGCAGCCCTCCCCCTTTTATACTAAAAATAGCTTATTTACTGTGGTGTCGTCTATGAATAGTCACGAGTTGTCTGCTGCTGTAAACTTGCCTCTTGTGTCAGAGGCAATTTATTTTACGTGATAAGTTCTTCATAGCAGACCCATTCCACCGTGTTTTGAAGACTTCTTTTGTGGTAGCTACATAAACACTTTACAGGACTTTTCTAGCCTCCTTCCAAAATTATGATATGCTAGCTTTAGTTTTACTCACAAAGTGAGTGTTGTGATTAAATACTTAAGACTTCCCTTACTCCACTGGGAAATTATTCTCCCTATTCTGATTTTAAGAAAGGGCCAACATATTCATTTGTTGTTTACAAGTGAGATTATTACCAAGAACACGTGTCCAGCACAAATCTACAGAGGCCTTCACCATTTAGAGGGCCAAAGGTTTTCAGAGTGAGACCAAACAGCCTCTTTAAGTGGCAGTTTACTTTGTGCTCGCTTCCTGCGAGCTGACAAGCCAAATCTTGGAGCTCATCTGCGAAAAGCCGCCCCCCCACGCCCAGCTGCGGGCTCCATTATGTTTACCAGATAACTTCTCCCCCACTGACACATTTGTATTGATCTACCCTTATCGGTGTGCAACTCGACTTCCATATTGCCATTCCTGGCAGGGAAAGCTCCCGTCCTGCCCCTTCGCAAAGACACCGGCCCAGGCTTGGAAAACACATCTCCGGCTCCATTTTTCCCAGGAGCGGGCCTGCCCCACGGCTCTGCCTCACACCCGGGCACTGCTCTCCCCTCTTTGGGGACTACCAAGCTGCGACAGGGCAGCTCTGGCCACCAACCCCCGCTCCGGAGGTCCCTTTTCCTTCCCTTCGCCTCTGCTCCCCGCTCTGGGCAGCCCATCCTTCGCGGGGACCCCGCGCCGGACCCTCCCCGCGAACACGGGGGGGGGGGACGGGGGGCTTGTGTGCGGGACTCCCCCGGCCCCGGAGGGACCCTTCGGTCGGTCGGGGCGCCCCGGCCAAGGAAGGAAGGAAGGACGGAAGGAGCCTTCCCCCCGCCGCTCCGGCCGCGCTGTCCCTCGCCCACCGCGGCCACTTACTTGAGCCCCAGCCCGTGCAGGTGCTGCCCGATCAGCCGGATCACGTCCTCGTCGGACTGCGAGAGCCGCTTCTTCTTCTTCAGGGCGCTGCCGCCGCCGCCGCTCCCCCCCAGCTCGGCGGCGGCCGGGCCGGGCCCCCCGGCGGCGGGTACCCCGTTGTTGACGCCGAGCCCGCCGGGGCTGCCGCCGCCGGGGCCGCCGCTGTTGGCCGAGGGCAGCAGCCCGTTGGCGTGGGCCAGCTGGTCGCCGGCGGCCGTGCCCGCCGAGGCCTCGCCGTTCTGGGCGCCCAGGCAGCCCAGCTCCGGGCCCTGCGGCGGCGGCTGCTGCTGCTGCTGGCCCCCTCCCGCCCCGTTGGCCTGCATGGCGCTGCTGGCGATGCCGCCGCTGCTGCTGCTGCCTCTGAGCGGGGCGGCGGTGGGGGCGAGCCCGGCGGGCAGCGAGGGGGACTGGGACGAGGTGAGGCCTGCTCTGCCCGCGGACGCCCCGGGCTCTCCTGCTCCCTCCACCGCCGCCGCCGGGGAGGCCCGGGCTTTCTTCCGCGGGGGCGGGGAGGCTCCGCCGGTGTCCGAGTCGGAGGAGGAGGAAGCGGAGGCCAGAGTTTCCTCGCCGAGAGCGGCCGTGGTGGGAAGCCGGGGGGGCGAGGAGGGGGAGGCGGCGGGGGCGAGGGGAGGCGGAGCGGGGCCCTGCGCCCGCCGGGGGTCCCGGAGGCAGCGCCGCCGCCCGCTCGGGGCTCCCTCTGGCGATGGCGGCCGCCGCTGCCCTGAGCCCCCGCCCGGCAGCCCCAGGCGCCCGGCCCGCTCCGCTCGCTGCCCGCCGGGTTTGTCTCCTCTCAGCCCAGCTGCACCTAATGGAGTCCGGGCCGGGACGTCACAGGAAATTCCTGCACTGCCCCCTACACACACTTCCGCCGCCCGGGGCCGCGGTGGGCACGGCCCCACGGCTGCCGGGGGGCGGTGGCGGGGCGGCTCCCGAGGGGCACAGGGACGCCCCGCCGGCAGCGCCCGGGTGGCCGCCCGCCCGCCCGGGGTCCCCCGGCGCCTGTGGGGGCCGTGGGCGTCGTGCCCGAGGGGGTTCCGGGGGTCCCGGGCGTGTGCCCGGCGTGTCCCCGCGCCCGGCGGCCCTGGGGCGGGAGAGGTGCGAAGGTGGGCGGGCAGAAGGCGCGGGGGGCGCCCACCGCCCCGACGTGTCCCGGTGGGACCGGCTGTCCCTGTCACACCCGGGGCAGGTGACCGGGCACCTTCTGGCAGCGGGTAATTTCCTGGTGCAATTTGGACGACGAGAAATGGGTACAAATTGAAAGAGGGGACATTTAGGTTAGGTGTTCCTAAGGGTGAGGGTGGTGAGACACTGGCACAGGTTGCCCAGGGAGGTTGTGGATGCCCCAGCCCTGGAAGTGCTCAAAGACAGGTTGGATAAGGCCTTGAGCAGCCTGATCAAGTGGGAGGTGCCCCAGCCCATGGCATAGGGGTAGGGACTAGATGATTTTAGGGTCCCTTCCAACTCATGATTCTGTGTTTGCATTTTTTAAAAGAAAGGGAAATGCTCAATGAGGTCACATCCTGGTGTTGCCCAGGTTGGTTACTGGAGGATTTCAGACCCGTTGCTGGTCTTGTCCCAGTCACTGCGTGCACGGGCATGGAAAGAGTGGGGAAATGGCAGTTGTGCTGTAGATCTTTCAGGAATGTTGAGAGTTGGGGCACATTTGTCAGGACAAGCTATTGGAAGACACTGGGAATTTTGGGGTCCTGGACTCTGCTCTGAGGTCTCCCTGCTGTCCTTCCTGTGTGATGGAAGGCAAACTCAAAACCTGAGCCAAGTCTCTGGTCAAGTCATGAGACGAGTGAAGTCTTCATCTTTAAAAATAGCATCTTGAAATAATACATTGTACGTTACTTGATTTAGAGCCTGTAATTTTTATCTTTGGTATGCTCAAGCTTTTCTTCAAAACCCAAAGGGAAATAACAACACTTTTTTTTCTCAATGAAAGCTGAGATTAAAATCTAATCATCTTCCCCTTTAGAAGCTGAGGTTTTAGGAGCACCAACTTAGGTTAAACTAGAAAGTTTGGACAATAGCACTTTCTTTCGAGTGGAACTTTGAAGAACTCTAACTGAGAGTTGAGACCACAGGCCCAAGACCAGTGGAGAAGTCTGTGAAGGGACAAAATCCATGAAAGAATTGAAAACAGAGGAGAAGATGTGACCACGTGGAGGCCTGGCCAGTTGAAGTAGATACCTTGGCCCTGTTTAGAGGCCTTAAAAGGTATTTGGTTGATAACAGCCAAAGAGCTCTTACACTGGAGGGAGAGGTTGGAAAGAGCTTTGTTGTTGACCTCTGCCCAGGTGTGGCTGTAGGGGTAAATTCAATATTGGTCTTCTGGAGAGGAAAATGTTGATTTTGTGTTCTTTAGTTCACCCACTGTTGCTGGAGAAGACAATGCTTGTGTTTTAGCCACTTCACCACTGCTGTTTATCCTCTCATCTCCACTGCTTTATCTTTTCAGCATTCCTGAGTTCTTCCTTGGTCCTCCCGGATGTCATCACTGAATCTGTAATTCAAAAGTTTGGGTAAAGATGACAGGAACACTACAGAGAGCAGCACAGACCCTGTGAAGGCACCTGAAAGTGAACTCTAAAGATCAAGACTAGGTTTCAGGAAGGTAAAGTTGTTCATCATCCTTTCCTGCCCCGTGCCACAGTGTTCAGGGCGGAATGGGGAGGTAGAAACCCCTTCCTGCTGTACCAGTTGGTGCCACTGTCCTTCCAGCTGCTGGCCCTGCCACACTGCTCTCACACCGCCTGCAGAGCCTGGCCTTCCCTAGTCAGTCACTGCTTTTGCTACCTGCATGTGCCCTGCTGCTCCCACACACTAGTGTCTGTCTTGATGAATCTGTGTAGAGTATGTCTGTGATATAAGAAATGCAGAATCCCTTTCCTGTAGCTGGGCAATGTCATATGAGCAAGTGGCTCTGTATACCCAGCTGTGGTAGACAAGGGTCTCACAGGTTGCAGTTTCCCTCTCGCATTTCAGTTAAATACTCTCAAGGAGTAAGAGTAGTGTTCGGGGCTGAAAAGAACCTAAAAGATAACCTTTAAGAGGTACATATTAATTTTATTGGAAGTTCTCCCCACCACCACCCCTCACACACATATTCTCCTTCCTTCTGGGAGGATATATCCCAGCACAAATGCAAAGAGCTGGAGGAAGAAACTCAGTATTGTTGGGATGGTACAGACCCTAGCTCCTGTGCCAGGGGGAGCTGGGATGAGACATCTGAAAGTTTCTTGGGATCTCAGGTGACAGAAGGGTGTAGAAGGGGAATGATTCAGAATCCCACGTGTGAAGAGCATGCCTCAGCCAGATCTTAGCCCATGTGTGTGTAAAGTTCCTGGAGCAGTTTCTGCTGCCGTCCTCCTTTGTCACCTATGGCTTTCCTACTCATAGGGAAGAGCTTTTCCTTCTCCTAGGCTTTTCCTAGTCACCAGGAGAGGATCTTGAGAGATAGGTCTGTGACTAGCAGACTTTCCTCTCTGTGCTGCAGTAAGGAAATAGAGACTCAGGAAAGGGGTAATGGCACCATGCTTTATCAGTCTTCCATCAGCTAAGCCCTGATTTGGATCCTGATTCTATTCCACACCCGTATGAGAGAAGGCAGATTTAATAATCCAAATAAGTGTGCAGCTTTTTGAGCAATTAGACAAATGAACTGGTAAATACACTTGTGACAGATGAAACATAAGTATGCATTCATCATATTCAAGCATCTTCAAAGTTTCCCAAAAGTAGAGAATAAATGCAACAATTCAGCTGTTGTAACAGGTGACAAACTTAAAAACACTCAGAAGAGGAATTTTAAAGACAAATTTTGGCAAACTTACATACAGTTGTTGTAATATCAGCCAAGTTACTGAATTAGAGGCATAATACATTACTATTCAGAATGTGTACAATCCTGAAATTATTGTAATTCAAACAACTTCCTATTATAGACAGCCACATCTTTAATTGAAAAGTGTTGCAGAAACACTTCTTAGTTATTTTGGCAGTTTAGAAAACTGAAGAGACCCATCACTCCCTATCAAAAACAACCAGTGAAGTGACCAATGTAGAATATGTTGAACAAGTGATATCTTTAAGTGTAAGAAAAGTGTCTTGGAACATTCTAGACTAAATACAAATGCTTGAACAGCAAGAAACACTTCCATTTTCCAGGTTTGGAATGTAAAAAAAGAAAAAAACCCCTTCAATTTATCATTTATGGCCTGACTATAACTAATAAAACTTTGACTAATTTCTCTCTCTCTGTTTTTTTTTTCTTCTCCATTTTGCCTTAGAGGAGGATGGGTCAGAAAGTCCAGATTCTGAATAATAAGAAGGAACTCTCATTAAGGGCTTGGGTTATTTGATAATAACCACGTGAGGTTGCTTCAGCAGAGCTGAAATATTACAAAATATTAGAGAAACTCCTGGAGAGATGGTTTAGCAGTCAAAGCTGCATGATGAAGGTAATTAATCATTTGATTCCCTCCTATCAGGTGTGGATGTGTGTATACTTTTCCTTTTCCTATGCTTCTGCACCAAATTTGAGGTTACTGGAAACAAACCAACTAACAACAAAGAACAAAGGAAGAAAGAATAATTTAGAACAATGGCAATTTCCGCAGTACCAGCTAAATAAATGTTTGAACAAGCACCTAGATATGCTTGCAACTTCCAAAAGATGAGATATGGATGAAAGACAACCACCTTCCTTAAACAGCATTTCTAGAAAGCATTCAACAGACAATAAGCAAATTATACTGGTCTGAGATTCCATCACTTCATACAGAGGATGGTTGATACTTAAGTAGAGGAGTAGAATATGGAAAGCCAAAAGTTGGCTGGAGTTGCAACAGGTGAATCAGCAGCAAAAGGAAGAGAAGGGAAAATGTGGGCCTGCTGCAGAATTGGGTCACTGAACTGCCCATAAAGGTCAAGGAAAAGGCTGAAGGACTCCTTCACCTTGGGTTTTACTGGGCTTGGGCTTTCCACATCTCCCAAGCTTCTGTGGCTTATTCAGGGTTTAGGGTGGGAAGGAGACTACTCACAGAAAGTCCACTCTGTCAAGCTGGGCATATACAAGTCCACTGGACCAGATGACCTGCATATGAGTGTGGAGGGAGCTGGCCAATGTTACCGTGTGTCACCCCCTGTGTCATTTGAAAGGCCATGGTGTTTAGAAGACTGTAGATGAATGAAGAAAAGGAAAATGTTACACCTTTAAGTTCAGTTGTGTCTGGCTCTGTGTCACTGATTTTGGGCTTAGTGGTCAAGGGGAAAGCAGAGTATGCCATTTAAGCTTGTCTTTATTAAGGCTTTTGGTAGGCTTCCTCAATAACTTTATAAGTGGGGAGATGTGGATGGGGTGGGCAGACTATGTGTGTGAAAAACTGGCTGTACCACCAGGCTTGAAGAGTAGTGTCTCATTGGTTTGAAGTCTGACTGATGCCCAGCTGGGAGGGATTAGGGATCAATAGTGGAGCAAATCCTGTTTGATATATTCACCACTCAGTGGGTGGGACAGAACACACCCTCAGCAAGTTTTCAGCTCATCTCCATGGCAAGCTGGGGGGAACAGTTGATGTACTGGAGGCCACAGATGCCATTCAGAGTAGCCTTGGCAAGCTGCAGGAGTGGGCCAGTGAGAGCCTTGTGTTGATCAACAGAGCCAAGTCTAAAGTCCTGAATGTGGGACAGACTGTCCTTGTAGAACATTACAGACTGAGAACCAACTGGCTTGGGAGTAGCCCAGCAGAAAGGGGCCTGGCCATCACACCTACAGGGCTGCATTATGGATATATTCAGCAGGTGTGTGCCCTCTGTGCAGCACTGTGAGGCCACACTGGATACCCACTGTCCAGCTTGGGCTCCTCCAGCAGCAGCCAGGTCAGTGGAGGCTGCTAAGGTGGTTGGGCCTGGAGCACGTCCTGTGTGAGGAAGTGGGTTTGGCTACACCAGGATCTAATTACAGTGTTCACCTTCCCAGGGGGAATTATAGGGAAGACGGCACAAGGCTTCTCTCTGAGATGAGCACCAACAGGACGACAGACAAAAGCGAGAAGTTGCACCCAGAGATATTTCAGTTGTGTATAAGAAAACAAAAGTTCAAAGTGAGAGTGGTCAAGTAGTGGAACACTTTCCCAGAATGGCTGTGGACTTTCCATCCATGAAGATAAAACTAGGCTGGATAAGGTTTTAAGCAACCTAGTTTAGCTTCGAAGATAACCCTGTTTGGAGCAGAAGGTAAATCAGTGACCTGCAACTTTAATTTTGGTGTGATTATAAACACAATTCCTAGAAGAACCCTTGTGGTATGGGGGGAACAGTATTGTCATGTCATGTTACTGATACTACATCCCAAAGCTTCACTAGTGTCATCATGTTGCCTTGTAGATGAGCTCACATGGCAAGGATAAGGGCAGTAGTGCTATTGTTGCAACCTAATTAAATATTAGGTAATCACACTGTGTCTTCTGTCCACCAAATTCATGTGCATACACTAATGTCGACCTTTGCACTCTCCTGGGCAATCACAGCATGGTGTGGTCACAGAGATAAATGTCCAAAAGTGCTGAGAATCCCATGTGGTACAGAACGTCCTGTTATTATGTGGACAATGCAATCTCTCATAGAAGAGCATACCTAGCATGGTTTTGCCTGTATTTCTGTTGCCATAGGTGTCTTTCTGGATGTGCAGGACACCATGCACTGGGAGAACTCAGACTTCCATGTATGGGCAGATAAAACATGCATGTGCAAGAAGTGTGATGCCAGACTGGTACTTACTGTGCAACTTCTCTGAGCATATACAGCACGACAATATTGCATATGCTGTGAATCTGACGTGTCAGACTTGCTTTGCATGCATGCTTTATCTGTCTGTGACTATCCTAGATATCAGTTTGTAAAATCTGTCTGTCTATACTGTGATATATCAGTCAATTTTAGCTCTATTAGGAAGTTATGTGTAGGCAGGATTTGGAAAGGCAGTAGGCCACCATGTCAGTGGTTCGAAGAACTTGCAGTGGACAGAATAACAGTGTGCTTGGACTTTTCTTTTTTTCCTCCACATCTTGATAGACATAAATGTTCACTCTTTATGGAGTCCCCTTCTGACCACTGTGTGCAGCAGGAACTGGCACGTATTCCACAGAAAAGCCTATCACTGGTTTTCTTCCATGAAGCTTTCCAAACTCGTTGTTTAGAGTGTCTCCTGTGGCCTGTGTTCCTTAATATTAGTGTGTTGATTTCATGTCCAAGTCTCAGATGGGTTATCGGTGTTTTTAGGTGAGATTGGATTTATCCTTCTATTGTTGCAGTTATTTTACTTTTCCTACTTGAGGGCCCCTCCCCTGCTTTTTACTTCTTGCTGGCTCTCAAGGCAATTGTTATTTCAGGCTTGTTAATTGTGTCTGCCAACTCCCACACAGCTCCTAGAGTCTAACCCTGAGTGGGGTAACACAACACCTTCTGTTGCCTATCCTTTGAATTAGGACCTGTTTCTCCCAGAATATGTACATTAGTCCTTTCTCGATATGACTTCTGTTTTCTCTGGAATGTTATATTGCAATGAGCTCTCACACCTGGAACTAAACATTCAAGACCAGGCATGTAGACTGTAGTATCTCATATCCACTCTGGAATGGGCAGAGAGGGGAAATTATTACATAATCACCAGATTACATTTTAACATTAAGTTTGTGAATAGCTCCTTGGAGCCCTGGGATTACTTAGTAATTTTTTCTCCTTCTTTATCAGGAATATATGGTTTTCCATGTCCATGTTTAAAAAAGTAAGTGAAGCTCCTTATTTGCTTTGGGCAAGAGATTGAAGGTTAGTGTCACAAGAATGTCACTGCACTACTATTTCAGTGCCCCTTATTTTAAAGGGAAATCACTAGGGTTTTTTTTGCAACTGTATCTTTCCTTAAAATACAACTTTATGTACCAGCCTCTCCATCTTTGTTGGTGCATAGTATTAACATCAGAAATAAAGAGCCACAGAATTAGAGAAAAGACTCCTTCATGTGGCTCTGTACATTTATATAGTAAAAGGTCTTCACCACTTCATCTAATTTGTAACTGCTTGTTGGTACATCAGCTCTGGCACTTGCTCTCACGCTTAAGACCTCATAAAGTTTCAAATAGCTACTGTAATAAAGAACCTAAGACACCACCAATAATCCAGCCCAAAAATAGTTTTTCTGCATGCTGGAAAAAGAGTTTTGTTCCAGAACTGGACTGGCCTGAGATGCAAGAGTGGGAAACAGAGTCATGACAGCATTGCACTGAAGGCTGATCACTCAAGCTTTCAGAAGGACAGTCATGCAAGACACAAGTTTCTTCTGAGGCTAACAGCAGGCGGTAAGATGTTAAACCCATGTGATCCAATGACCTTTATACATTATGATTTCCAGAAGAGTTTCTTCAGATCCCTTGCCAAAGGCTCCTGGTACCTTAGAGTTTGTTTTGTTTTTTTTTTTGTCTTTGACCAATATATTTGGACCTTTGGTACTAAACCAATCTGATTTCTCAAATTGAAAGCGTAACATTCACCAAATTTTCTATAATACTTGGGGGGGTTGATTTTGTTTTTTTTTTTTTTGTTTTTTTTTTTTCTAAGAGGGTACAATCTGCAGAATATAGGCAGAGATAGTTTTTACTGAGACATGTTTGGAGCAACTAATACACCGTATTTGAATCTTTGCCTCACAAATAATATAGTAATTTCAGATACATGCAGATTAAACCTTTATGCTTTTGTGGCTTCTCTCTTAAAAAGAGGCCCAAGAGAGTTTCTGAATCATGATGTGGTAGGTAGGCTTTACTGACATTCATTTGGCTGCGTTAGTCATCACCATAGTTTGACTAATGGGAAGGACACCCTAGATATTGTCATTCCTATTTTTATCTATCAGGGCAAGATGATAAAATAGATACAATTACATCTGTAGAATTTTTTAGGAGTTCCTAGTTTTCTATAAATACTAACACCTTCTTTGTAAGCGATTTCTATTTAATAGCACTTCTTGAGAATGCCACATGTGAGAGAGGAGCATGTCCTGCTGGATACTGTCAGAGCTAGGAGGCATGGTGGGAAGTAGTTCCAGCTGGAAGGAGGAAAGGGGAGTTTTGTAAAATTAGGATCAAAGTCTTGATCTTTTAAATATTTCAGTGCACGTGTAGACATACGTCTGTGGGTAGTACTGTTTACTGCATTGTCACAGTTGGAACCAGTTTTACGAATTATAACAAATCTGTCACCTCAAAGTAACTAATTATTTTGTACACCGTGGCCAGTTCAAAACCTCACAATGCTTCCTGAAATGAGCTCGAGTTTTCTGTCCTAAAAAACAAAGACTCCTCTCCCTGAAGCTAAAAGAATCCCCATGTGTTGTTAGGAGCCCCCTGCCAAAGATGTGCAGTGCCAAAGACACAGCTGAACAGAACTAATTTCATTTTGCCAG